CAACACCAACCTTCAATGATCTTACAAAATAAGCACAAACATAAACTTGGGAAACCGAGGATCTTCAGTTATACCGTTTAACTTGGACCGCAACATTTCAGCGACATATTACATCCTAGCGGGCATAGATTTATAAAATTCGCAAATCACAACTACTTACGTGTACGGAATTTACGGAAAGAATTTAATCTATATATGTCGGATTAAACCATAATTCTTATTGACCATCTATCTGAACCCGGATACTCGTGCCTTTACATACTTGTGAATAATCTAACAAGGGCAATAATTTAAAGCAAAAACGGTTGTCCCGCCCTCTATAAGGGCGGGTCAAAATCTAGTTATCCTTTTAAAATATTAAACCTAAAATTTCAAAGAAAAAAAGTAATTATTCTTTTAAATTTAAAACTGATTTTTCTTCTATCAAATAATAAAGAAAACAAAATTAAAAAAAATAGCAATTATCCTTTAAACAATTTTAAACGTATAAATAATAATTTCAAATTACAATATATTTTCTCTATATCGTTTTAAGCAAATCATATATACAAAAATAAAATAGTACAATATTTAACACTGATTTTACTTCTCTCAAATATTAAAAAAAAATGTAATTGTCTTTTCTAAAATAAAAACCTAATAACGAAAAAAAATTTGTGCTAATTTTACTTAATTCAAAGCCTAATTTAAAAGGTCATAAACCAAAAAAATGCCAAATAAAAAGGATTTTTTAAAAAGGTCATAAGTAATTAATAGTTATTATCCTTTTAAATTAAACACTGATTTTCCTTATCTCAAATATTAAAAAAAAGATAATTGTTTAAAAAATTGTAATTTTCCTTTTAAAATATTAAATCTAAAAAAAAACAAAGAAAAAAAATAGTAATTATCATTATTAAAAAATCAAAACCCAAGAGGGACTATGATTATTCAAATCTATATATACAGAACTAAGCTCTTTCATATTTTGTCAACCCTCATATTTGATCACCAGACACCAAAGATAATTTGGTCACCTCTCATATAAGGTAAGATTATATATCCTAATCATCGCATGTTCTTAGTCGCATGTTCTTTTCTTTTTATAAACTGATGTTGACTTCATTATTTTCATGCTACCTACGTAAGTACAATAATGATTAGGCGTTCATATGCTGTTGGCTTCTTTTATCATAATGATTAGGCGTTTATATGCTGTTGATTTCTTTTATCATAATGATTTGGCGTTTATGCTGTTGACTTCTTTTATCATTACTAGATGCATAGTCTCCACGCAAGCGCATGGATTGGATACGTTGTTGATCTGTTGTGTAGTTTTGTGTATGAAACTTTGCTGTTTATTTTTAAAATTTGTTTATCTGACTTATAATGGTGATGAATGAAACATTAGAAGTCACACAACTTGATTAGTCTGATAAAAGAATAAACATCGAATTTATATGGGTTGATATTTTCATATTTTATCTTCGTAGCGATTTTATCGAGCATTCCCTTTATTAGTGATTTTATCGAGCATTACTGTTATTAGTGCTTTCATGTAAAAAAATAATTTAATGGAGACAAGACAAAAAATGACATATTTTTATTAGTGTAATTTTCTTTCTGAAATTATGTTGTATAAATATATATATTTTTAATTGTGATGTATATGAGATTTATGGCCGATCTGAATGGTTCGGGGTAAATATTTATTATTGAAAAAATATGTTTTTATTTTATTTGATGATTATAACTGAATTGAAATGATATTGGAGGTTAGAACATGATAACCTTTCTTATAAAAGTATCTAAGATGGTCTCATAAAGTTTCAAATCCTTAAACCATTTTGTATCCCAACAACCAGCCCAAATTAAAAAAAAAAATTACATGCAAGCACTACGTTTTGAACCTGCACACTCGCAGTACCAACTTCTTGTCACCAACTTACACCACTGGGCCATTTCATCACTCATCGGTAACATTCAATCTTACAAAATCTTATACGTTTTTGTTTTCCCTAATAACACGTGCGGGGCCCGCAAACTTGCTGACATAGACACGCTGAGGAGCTTCAAAAGTGTACTATTATTATATAGATTGTCATGCTACCTACGTAAGTACAATAATGATTAGGCGTTTATATGCAATCTATAGTTAGTTATGTGGTTGTACGCTTAAGTTAATATTGCTATTATGATTGCTTATGTGTGTTTGTTTGTCCTATTTATTATTTTCTATCCGAAATTGTTATTTAATTTGTTACCAGAAATTATCAAGAAACAATGACTTCAGAAAGTTATTTAACTCTAAATCAGTTAAATAAAAAACGTCCTTACCGTCGTACTATTGTGTGTCTTACTAGAAAGTGGGAAGCAAGAAATTGAATTAAGCATAATGAACTTATAGGAATGAATTTTCTCTTACTCGATGAGAAGGTAGATATTTTTATTTTTATTTTAAAAAAAAAACTTATATAGTTTTATTATAAGATGTATTTTGTTTATTATATAGGAAAATACTATTCAAGGTTGGGTGCATCATTCTCTTATTTAAAAGTTTGAAGATAGATTACCCGAAGGAGCCATTATTGAAATATGCAATTTTAATATACAAGATGGCAATAAAAACTATAAAGTCTCAGATCATCAATTTCAATTAAGATTGACTGAGAGAACATCAGTTGCATGTGTGGTTCAACAATTACCTCAGATACCGCCTGAAAAACTTCGATTTCGAAATTATGAAGATTTAGCTCAACGGATAGATTCAACATATGATTTATATGGTAAGATTCATATTTATATAAGATGATTTTGCTTGGGTATTTATTATTAATTTTTCTTGAAATCTATACTATTATTTGCGAAGTGATTTTTCGCAACGGAGCTCTCACGTTAAAAGTTGGAGTGGTTAATATCGATTATACCCTTAATGAAACTTTTATATATACTTAATTTTATAATTAAAAACGAAATTTAAAAAAATAAAATTAGTTTAGTATGTTATTATCTTAGATAACTTAGAATAATTAATATAATAAGTTTATAAAAAATCAAAAATAAGATAATTCTTATATATTTTATTATCATCTGAATATAATATTGTAACAACATGATCATGCTTATATATGCGGGCATAATCTTCTTACGAATATTTATTATTTATTATTTTATTAATTTTAAAATAATATTATAAGTTATTCTTTATAGTTTTAAAAAACCTAAATCAAACATTAAAATATTTTTATATGAATTTTCATCAAAATCCATATGCTTATTATAGTGTTGAAAAACATCCACATAATAAAATATTTTGAAAATATATTTATATTTTTCTTAATATTTAATTTTAAATTTTTTTATAACTAAATTTTTATTTTTCATAATAAAAATATTATTTCTTGATAACTGTATAATATTCTCTAAGATCTTATGTTTAAAATATGCATCAATGTGGATAATTATCCTATTAATTTATAATATATTAACTAATATAATAACATATAAATTTCTATCACTAACATAAAATTCGCTTTTAACCAATTTATATATAAATATATAAATTTCATTAAAGGTATAATTAACTTGAACCGGTCCAATTTTTAATATCTAATATTTAATTATATAATTAATAGTATCTTTATACAAATGTTTTTGTTTGATTAATATTTAATTAAAATCAACTTTTAAATTTTAATTTTTTAATTTTAATTTTTATATTTTATAATAGAATGATATTATTTTCAAAATCCAAAATCAGTTATATATAAAATTAAGATATATAAGCATTATCATGTTGTTACAATATTATATTCAGATGATAATAACATATATAAGAATTATCTTATTTTTGATTTTTTATAAACTTATTATATTAATTATTCTAAGTTATCTAAGATAATAACATAATAATCTAATTTTATTTTTTAAATACCGTTTTTAACTATAAAATTAGTTATATATATAAGTTTTATTAATGGTATAATCGATATTAACCACTCCAACTTTTAACGTGAGAGCTTCGTTGCAAAAAATGAAGATATATAAGCATTATTTTGTTGTTACAATATTATATTCAGATGATAATAACATATATAAGAATTATCTTATTTTTGATTTTTTATAAACTTATTATATTAATTATTCTAAGTTATCTAAGATAATAACATACTAATCTAAATTTATTTTTAAATATCGTTTTTAATTATAAAATTAGTTATATATAAAAGTTTCATTAAGGGTATAATCGATATTAACCATTCCAACTTTTAACGTGAGAGCTCCGTTGGGAAAAATCACTTCGAAAATAATAGTATAGATTTTATATATAATTGATTTTGGCTTTTGAAAATAATATTATTCTATTATAAAATTAAAAATTAAAATTTAAAAGTCGATTTTAGTTAAATATTAATCAAACAAAAACATTTGTATAAAGATACTTTTAATTATATAATTAAATATTAGATATTAAAAATTGGAACGATTCAAGTTAATGATACCTTTAATGAAATTTATATATTTATATATAAATTAGTTAAAAGGGAATTTTTCGTTAGTGATAGAAATTTATATGTTATTATATTAGTTAATTTATTATAAATTAATAGGATAATTATCCACATTCATGCATATTTAAAACATAAGATATCTTAGAGAATATTATACAATTATCTAGAAATAATATTTTTTATTATGAAAAATAAAAATTTAGTTATAAAACAATTTAAAATTAAATATTAAGAAAACATATAAATATATTTTCAAAATATTTTATTATGTGGATATTTTTTAACACTATAATAAGCATATGGATTTTGATGAAAATTCATATAAAAATATTTTAGTGTTTGATTTAGGTTTTTCAAAACTATAAAAAATAACTTATAATATTATTTTAAAATTAATAAAATAATAAATAAGAAATATTCGTAAGAAAATTTTGTCCGCATATGCAGGCACAACACCTAGTAACATTATAACATGATTTTGTTACAGATGTGATTGGATATATAAAAAATATGGAGAAAACGGATGTTCGGAGTCGGACTAAACCTCTCCTCCGTAGAGTTATTTTAACTTTATTGTTAGAAAGGTATATTGCAATTCCTATTCTATTAAGTAATTTAGTTTTAAAATTTTTTATTTCTCTTTTACAAATATTTTTCGTGAACAGTGGACTTGAAATACAAGCAACACTATGGGCTGAGCAAGCAGAACTATTTGAAGATAAATATCACGCTGTGGAAAGTAATAATATTGTTCTCATCATGACAAGTGTTTTGGTCAAGACATATGAAGGTGTAATATGTTTGTCGGCATCTTCTGGCACTAAATTCTATTTGAATTATGATTTCAATTCTGTTACTGACTTTCGAACGAGGTACTATTTAAAATTATTGTATATTTATTTTATTAGAATTTACTAACTCAATTTTATATTTTTCTATTAGTTTCAGCTATGATGGTGGCTGTTTGGTTAATCTAGACGAAAAGGTTGAAATTCCTTCAATGAATAATGAGATTTCTGAAGTTCGGCATTCTATTAATGATATTTGGGATTTCATTGCATCTCATATCCCTCAGGTAACATAATTATATTAAATAAATAATATCTTCACCATATGAATATTCCTAATCTTTATAAATTTATAAACCGCAGAAAAAGACATTCTTGTGTACGGCAACCATTACTAATATTGTCTCACATAATGGTTGGAACTATATATCATGTTCAAGATGCTCAACAAAATTGAGAAAATCTGAATTATCACTTTATTGTCAAAAATGTGCTAAATCACAGTCTGTTGGAGTTTTGAGGTATTATGCACTAATTTATATATTTTAGATTAATTGATAAACATTATATACATATATATATTTATATACATATATATATATATATATATTTATTTATATTTATATTTAAATTTTAAAATTAGATAAAATTTTCTCAGTTTCAGAATTGAAGTAATAGTGGATGATGGAGATGATTCTGCAACTTTTGTTATATTTGATGAAGATGTTTCATCAATAACTGGAGCAACTGCTGAAGAAGTAAGTTTTTTATGTTGTAAATATAATTTTACCTGGATATAATATTTGTGTTGTCATTACTTTTTATCTAATAATCTTTTTTGACAGATCAAAAGAAACTCAACTGAACAAGGATCGAAAGATATTCCCAAAAGCGTGCAGTCAATTGTGGGGGAAACATATTTGTTTGATATAAAAATTAAAGAAAAAGATTTTCAATCTTCAAATCAAACTTTCACAGTTTCAAAAATTCATAAACACATAAAGGTAACTAGACTAAATATGTTTGATAGATTTATTATATTGTATTATCATACTTAACTTAATTCTTTATTTTTGCCTTTTCTATATAGTCAACTCCGGTGGATAGCAATTTGGGAAATAAACGCAAAGAACGTGAAGAAGAGAATAAAAAAGAAGCAAGCGAGAATATTCAGAAAAAACATATGTAGGATTGATTTTTTTAAGTTTTTAATGTTAGTTTTTATTTTAATAATTATTTAAATTAATTGTTTTCATATTTAAGAAACATGCTTCATTTAAGGATTTTAAAATATAATTCTATTCACATTAATATTTTCATTTGCATGTTATATTTCTTACTAATCTGTGATTTTTGGTCCATTTTCTGTTATATAGTCGAAATCAGTAATCTCGACATGTTTACGTATAACAAGTTTGGTCTTATCTCAAATTAAATTAGTTAGTTTGTTTTCCTTTTTGCTAAAAGATTAGTTAGCTTGGTTACATTCAAAATTTCTTTTTGCAAATTAAAAGAGTCTGAAGTAACAGCTAGGAAATTAAACCACACGTAAGCAACTTGACTGAATTAAAAAAATGAATATCAGTATATATGAACACTTCTGAACTTTTGATTGCCTATATATATTTGCCCAAAATAACGAGGCGGGAGAGGTGCGTACTCTAAGAGCTGTAATTAAAACTTAGGTTATTCCCTCAATTTATTTCTTTTTTTCCCTTAATTTATTTCTTAAAAGTATAAAACGTAAACACATAATAACTATTAAGCCAATATATTACTAACATATACATATTGAAAAAGAAAATATAAGTATATTTATCTTATTCCCTTTTTACTAAATATTTCGGTTTGAATTGAAACCAAATAATAAATTTCTACGCTTAAGAATGTATATATATTTTTTTTGGGTCAAAAACGCTTAAGAATGTATATATATTTACCTTTCCCGGACATAGTTGGAGTTGGAAAAGTAGATGGCAGAGTCAACGCGAATAATCATTGTTTAAAAGTAAACTAGGTGTTTTGCCCGCCATGCGGGCTTAAGCCTTTTATAATTATTTGTTAGTAAATATATAAATAATAAAAAAATTAGAAGCATAAATTATTATTTATGTTTTCATTTTGAATTTTTTTATTTAGCTTAAAAATTATTCAATATTGTCTTTTCAATTATATAAATTAAGAATTTTAATTAATTAATATGTAATTATTTGTTTTCTGCTTTTGAATTTTTAAATATTTTATCAAAAGATAGTTTTTGGATAACAATACAATATATATAGGAATTATCTTTTAAAAATAAAATATATTTTTAGATTTTGGATAACTCTTATTGTTATTATTTAAATAACTTATCTAATTAAATAAATTTAAATTCTTTTTTATATTTAATTAATTCATATAATTTATTCATTAAGAGTATAAACGATATTAACAGCTCCAACTTTTAACGTGGGCGTTCCGTTGCGAAAAATCACTTCGCAAATAATAGTATAGATAGATTTTTAAATATTTTATCAAAAGATAGTTTTTAGATAACGATACAATATATATAGGAATTATCTTTTAAAAATAAAATATATTTTTAGATTTTGGATAACTCTTATTGTTATTATTTAAAATAAATTATCTAATTAAATAAATTTAAATTCGTTTTTATATTTAATTAATTCATATAATTTATTCATTAAGGGTATAAAAGAGGTTTAGATAAATATAAAGTTAAAATCATTGAAATTTGTTTTTCTTAAATTTGATTTTTTTAAAATAAATTTATTATATTAATTATTCTTAGTTATCTAAGATAATAACATACTAATCTAATTTTATTTTTTTAAATTTCGTTTTCAATTATAAAATTAATTATATATAAAAAATTCATTAAGGGTAAAATTAATTATATATTAATAAATATAATTATTTTTCAAAGTTGATAAAGACTTTATCACATAATATAAAAAAATTAATAAGGATAATTATCAAATAAATAAAATTCGTTTTTAATTTATAATTAATTATATATTAACCAATATAACTATTTTTCAAGGTTAATATAGACTTTATAACCCAATATAAAAGAGTTTTAGATAAAGATAAATCTAAAATCATTGAAATTCGTTTTTCTTAGTTTTGATTTTTTTTTATAAATTTATTATATTAATGATTCTCGGTTATCTAAGATAATAACATACTAACCTAATTTTATTTTTTAAATTTCGTTTTTAATTATCAAATTAGTTATATATAAAAAATTTATTAAGGGTAAAATAGATATTAACCGCTCTAACTTTTAACGTGATAACTTCGTCGCGAAAAATCACTTTGCAAATAATAGTATAGATAGATTTTTAAATATTTTATCAAAAGATAGTTTTTAGATAACGATACAATATATATAGGAATTATCTTTTAAAAATAAAATATATTTTTAGATTTTGGATAACTCTTATTGTTATTATTTAAAATAAATTATCTAATTAAATAAATTTAAATTCGTTTTTATATTTAATTAATTCATATAATTTATTCATTAAGGGTATAAAAGAGGTTTAGATAAATATAAAGTTAAAATCATTGAAATTTGTTTTTCTTAAATTTGATTTTTTAAAAATAAATTTATTATATTAATTATTCTTAGTTATCTAAGATATTAACATACTAATCTAATTTTATTTTTTTAAATTCGTTTTCAATTATAAAATTAATTATATATAAAAAATTCATTAAGGGTAAAATTAATTATATATTAATAAATATAATTATTTTTCAAAGTTGATAAAGACTTTATCACATAATATAAAAAAATTAATAAGGATAATTATCAAATAAATAAAATTCGTTTTTAATTTATAATTAATTATATATTAACCAATATAATTATTTTTCAAGGTTAATATAGACTTTATAACCCAATATAAAAGAGTTTTAGATAAAGATAAATCTAAAATCATTGAAATTCGTTTTTCTTAGTTTTGATTTTTTTTTTATAAATTTATTATATTAATGATTCTCGGTTATCTAAGATAATAACATACTAATCTAATTTTATTTTTTAAATTTCGTTTTTAATTATCAAATTAGTTATATATAAAAAATTCATTAAGGGTAAAATAGATATTAACCGCTCTAACTTTCAACGTGAGAACTTCGTCGCGAAAAATCACTTCGCAAATAATAGTATAGATGTGCTTTCTAATGCAAAAAAAAAAGAGAATTTGCATCTCCTACCAAAGAACTTTTACATAATTAGGGAAATACCAATAAGCACTGTTAAGTTACTGTTGGACTTTTTTTATGACTCTGCTGCCCCTACATTAATCTTAAACAAACAATAGGTGAAATCTTACCAAAATTTTATTTCAGTCGGGAAACTACATCACATCGAACTTCTCTCTTGCTTCCTCTAATTAGTTTTTTTTTTTTTTAATTACTAAATTCTTCTCCATCTTCTCTCTTCCAACCCCATTTGCAACTGAGAAAACTTCCAGTCCTTCTCTCTTCCACTACATCGCCATTTTCAGATCTCAAACCATTATTCTGTTGTTAACACCTATAATGAAAAGAAACGATGTCCAACCCACTCTCCTTCTCCGGCCGGTGCAAAAGAGGTTTTTGAGTGCATGTTTGATTCCGAAGCCCACTCTCCTTCTTCGGCTGTGTGAGGTATGGAGCCGGCGGAACTGCGTCAAAACGCTAAAGCTTCGACAGCTAGCACGAATCTGGGTTTCTCTTCTTCATGGTTTTGCTAGAGGACGGTGAGATCGAAGCGGTAGTTTCTTCCTAGATCTGTTTTGAGCAGAGCGGATATGGTGGAGGTCTCCATGAACAGCTTCGGGTATAGATCGGCATGGAGGGAAACATGGCGAGCTAAGATTGGCCGGTGGATATCGCTTGGCCCGTCGAAATATACAGCGAGGCTTCTATGGGTCGCGCTCCCCAACGTCGGCGAGAGTGGCGGCAGCAGTTACCGGCGAGAGTGGCGGCGGCGGTTTGGGGACGATCAAAGCCACCCTCTCTAGGGTTTCTACTGCTTGTCTCCGGTTTAATCCGGTTTCGTTCTTCGGTTCAAAATTTTGATGTAACCAGTACCTACTCTACTATTTTTAACTCTAACCATACACCGCTATATATATAGTTAGATGCACTATATGAGGCGACTGAATATCTCAAATTGTTTTGTCTGGGAGGAGGAAAGACGTAAAGATGGAGAATGTCATATTGATGTATGAACCATCAACTGTTAAGCAAGAACTGAGGTTGTGAGAAACAATGGTGTATATTTCAGAATATGCTGTGGTTGTTGTGAGGGAATATGGCAAGGATGTAGGAAGTTGTTATGAGCATGTATCTCAACCTATTAACAAATCTAATAATAATTTCTACATGTTTCATTGAATTTTAGATTTTGAGATTCGTTGTTGAATGGCTAACTTATTTAATAACATATAAAAAACTTACTTACCTCCTTGCTGTTAATCTTGAATATGTGTATAATGCAAAATTTTATTTAAGATTAATAGCAAGTCTCATATATATACGTCGCTTAATAAATAACTTATCACGATCAAATCGTTTATATGATGTTTGCCAAATTCATGTTACACTGCTAACATTTCTAATATTTAATAACAAATATTTTAACAATATGTAATGTTTACATCATAAGTTAAAATAATCTTTGGTGATACTAAGTCATTGTTAGATGTCTAATCTTTTTTATTGCGAGCTAATACTTTTTTTAGCTAAAAGTTGCATGTTTTATCCAGTTAATTATATTTTCAAGTATTTTAATTTTTTTTTGGTTAAGATAATATTATCTTTTAAAAAGACACATAATTTTTTTAGCCGGCTGTACACCACCATGTAGTATAGCATTTGCCTTTAGTCATATGTTTAATATAATTTGCAAATGATATTTTTCTAATGTGAACGTTAAACCTCACTGAACTACCATGTAACTATCATATCTTATACAAAGGTCATCTAACTAGTTTTATATTCATATGCTACTATTATATTTCATATAAGGTAATTAATGTGTTAGCAATGCAAATATAAAATTAGTTGTCCACAACTTAAGTTAAAACAAGCTTTGATGATACTGAGTCTGTTAAGCGTATAATTTTTCTTATTGCAAGATAAAATTATTTTTAGCTGAGCTTTGCTTGTTTTATCCAGTTAACAACATGTTTTTGAATTGAATGATAAATTTAATAATCATTGGTCTAGGTTTTTCTGAATACCTTTGGACAAAATTATTGGTTATAACGGGGAGAAATGCACGAATGTGATGTCTGTCTATCTCACTCTTCACGATAAATAAACCTACAACAGTAACGAAGGGATCATAAACCTTAGGTTTACTGTGCCACCGTTATTAGAAGAAAAAAGAGACAAGTTTCTCCTAGAACTGAACACAGAAAGAATTTCTTGCGATTGCAGGGAGATTTTATTGGTTAAAAATGTGATGGAGGTGG